TGCTTTAGCAGATACTAGGTCATTTTATATATTTAATGCGGAACACAATGCCTTGTTATCCCATAACCTCTACAGTAAATTTCACTTTTTACCATTATTCTTAACTTTGGCTTGGAACATTGGTTTACAGAAGACTGCATGTTCAAAGGCAGCAACTCAGTGTGTAACAACAAAATAAAGAAGACCGCACATTTCTTTCCACTGAATTTGATTCCAGAATACAAACTTTTGGAAAGTGGCATGTTTTTTTCTGCATTTGTTTCTGCACAAGCTGTCCTTTGGACAGGAGTTTTTAAAAAAGATAGATGTCTAAATTTAGTCCTGGTGTCTAAAATAAATGGCTGGATGTTTTTTTTCTCAGTGGGGCTTGGGACTCCTGATAGCCTATACCACTTTTGAGAATGGGATTTCGCTGCATCATATACGTAGTGCATATATCATATGCAACTATATACAAAGTTCTTCTAAAATCATTTTGAAAGTTAAGCGTTAACTTTCATTAACATAATTTATTCATTTATTTAGCATTTAGCTGCTAAATAAAACTGAAGAAATTGAGATGATAGCAAGTATAATCACAATCGGAGCGATTCTTATATTACTTATTTGAGGCCACGGATTGATAGATAATAGCACATGTCCACTCCTCATTCCTCTTGTCAGCCAGTTTTATATAACCCACACTGGGTGCAGCGTGCCACACAGGTTCATCTGCAGCTGTAGAAAAGGAGATGTTCTCACTGTGACAATGCATAGTACTATATGCTGAAGAACCACTGCCTTGCCCTAAAGGTGACTGTACAGAGAAAGGCACAAGTGTGAAGCAGAGTTCTGTCCATCAAACACAGTTTTGCATGTTTAAAAAAGGGAGCAGTGGTTGTACAAGGGAAAATGTCCATAGTTATAGCAGCATACAAAAACAAGTTTCAGCGTGTGGTTTGGCACTGCGAATGACCCTGTGAAACACTGCCCTCTTGCACAATGCATCTGTACCCTGTGAGGATTCAGTCACATCTGCTGACTTATTGAACAACAACATTATTATCATTTCTTACTTCTGTGAGTTCTGCAAAGCCAGAATGAAATGTGTTCCTGTCTGCTCTTCCTGGTGTGTGAACAGCAGTTTTCCTCATTTAGATCTAATCAGTTCATTTTTAAATTGCAGCGTAACTAACTGGGCTGTAAGGCCTGCAGTTTGTAACTGAGTGCAGGAATTCACTTTTAGCAATGACTTTCAAGAAGGAAGAGAAATGAGATTTTATCTCCTTGTGATCCTTGATATTATTAAATTTTTTGAGCTGTCCTTATGTACGGAAGCACACTTTAAAAATAGAGATGAGAATGGAAAGAGTGAAAAAAACATCCTATGATGGCAGGTGGGAAGACAACATCTAAGAAGAGGATAAAGAAAACCTCTTTTCCTTTGATCTAAGCTCTGTGGATGAAGGTGTCCAACTCCAGCTGAAATTTTTCAGAGGTCAGTACATCAAAGTATGTCAAAAAGCACTAAGTTCGTGGAAGGACTGGAGATAAACTATGACCAGAGAAAAGATATGGGTCTCCTTTACAGTCTTCCTCATTTTCCTGCAAATGGTTCTAAACTGCTCACATTACCAGCTATCTAGTTGCTTATTCATTCTGTTGAAGTATACTACTAGAGAAATGAGATGGCAATCTACCATGGTCTGACTGGAACAGCATCAGTTACTCCTGCTTAATGAATGTTTATAGCTTCCAACCCTGCTTTCCAGATCTTAATTCTTGTGGTGTTCTAGTCCCACTTGAAAGAAGGACCCACAGGAAGTCTATAAGAGACTTTGAAGACTTTTTCGAGGAGAAAAACAAACATCTGGGGGAGTCCATATTTCACTTAAGAGACCTAGTCAAAGTGGCAGTGAATTATTTAAGCACCTATAAAAAGTCCTGATTTAACAAACATCAGAGGGAGGGAAAAATTAACAACAACAACAAAAAATAAAATACACCCAACATATATATTTAAGAGCATTAATGCTACTGTCTTATCTCTGTGATGAAATGTGACCTTATAATAAAAGCTGGATTTTCCTCCTTTTAAAAATAAAGAGCAGAGTGATTTGGTGGTAGCACATGCAAGCAGTGTCTTCACTTTCCAACCACAGGCATTTTTGTCTATGTGACATTATCTTGGAACTCTCTTTCCCTTAGCAAGTGCAGGATCAACCAAATCAACATGTCTACTGACAAATTCTTGTTCATTTTTGTATTGGCCATTCAGCAGCCTCCTTAAGCATCCTCTTCCATTAATTATCCTCTCATCAAGAATGCATGAACACATCTGAGTTAGTTATGTCTGACTGTGTAAAAGAAATAACAGTTCATGCTTAATTGAGTTTCAAGAAACACATCAGCCCAGAAATCCCGTTTCTTGCATACAATCTGGACTCTGCTGTGACACCTTAGACTACTGAAGTGATGTCTGGAACTACTGAAACTCAGACTTGTGGTAGAACAAAATGTGTTCTCTTTATTTTTTCGTAAACCAAAATGTTTGCTACTGCCAGTGTGAGTATTAATGACTTGCTGTGGGTATATGATGTTTTCCAGTTTTTTAGACAACAGATGGTGATAATGTTGATCCTAAAATCCTAACAGATGTGTCACTCGCATCTGGTGCTGCCATCTGCTGTTTTCTTTTTATTGCATTGACCACCTAAAAATAAGTGTCCCTTTATATACAGCTTTTTAACACATTCATCTTGAAAACCTGTATAACAACAAAATATTGATTTCTTATCTTCTCCTAACATAAAGTCATCTAGTCACCACGTCAAATAAAAAATCACTCTGGTGCCATGTAATTCATAAGGAAGGTGGGATGTCACCGATAGACTTTGTCTCAGATCTAGCAATTTTAAGAATCTTCTTAGGCACATATATTGCCAAACACAGAAAATAGATGAGAATGTCCAGTGAAAGATTTTTTTGGGATGAAACTTACTGTATATCATCATTGCTAGTGATCACATTTCCTGCCTTACTGTCTTTACACCAATGCCATGTTCAGTAAGCTTATTAATTTTCTACAGGTAGCATGTCAGGAGTGAAATGGGGTATTCTGATTCCCTTGGGACAAAAATTTACTAACCTGCATCCTTAGGTACAATTACGTTACCGTTCAGGGTAAATTTAACACTTAGTATATGACCAGTTCTGACATTTGTCTGCAGTCATTGCAGAGCAGAATGCACTCCTAAAGGCTGTGAAATGTTCTGCTGGATGATCTGAAGAGCTGCTCCTCAAGTTGCCTATAGCCCTGGTGCACAGGGCCTCTTGCTTTTCAGAGAGAAGTCTGTGGAAAAGGCTGCTTTCATACAGCCTCTTGCTGTTACTATGTGTTTACACCAATCTTTTTCCTCGGGCAATTCAAACCTGTGATGAGGACTCTGACTAGAATAGGAGGCCTCCTGTTCTCCCATTGAAGTATGTGGATAATTAAATAAGAAATGGGAGGGTGGCTTATTCCTGGATGACAAATATTTATGGAGAAGAGCTTGGAAGGCAGTCTTATTGGGTATGCTTAAGAAGAAATTAAAAGCTTTGTTCAGTAAGGGAGGTTTTGACCTCATGTAACACCATAACAGCAGCCTGGGGCTAACCTCAAGTAATGTCAGGTCTATAGAAAGCACGCATCTTTGTAGACTCTGAGTTGAATGACTTCATTCGTGGTAACACAGACATACTTAGCAGTCATGAACAGAAGGGAAAAGTAACGTGGCACCAGAGGGAAGCGTAACTACACTGTTAGGTGTTTGTAGGTATTTTTATAATAACACCAATAGGCCTTTCCTACTACCCTTTCTAAAAGGAAAAAACAATGCAGGGAGCAGACAGCCCAGCCAAAATAGTTTGGGTTGGAAAACTGTGATGATTCTAAAAATAGCTTTGTTTCAAACAGCAGGCCTCCAGATGTGACATTTGGGATAGGCACACTCTGAAAAGAAAGAGAAATGAAGGATAAATGTGATCAGCTGTAACAGTTCCAAATAAGGCATATCATAGCTAGGATTCCACAGTCAAGCAATGAAAGAGCAATTACTACAAACTGTAAACATATTCTTCTTCGGGTTTTCTTATATAGCTTACCATCTTTGTATTTGCGGATAAAGACTTCTATATGTAACTTAATAGATGGTGATGCTTGAAAATCACAACATTTCTGGAGAAAGTCCTTCCATTCTTATAGAGATCTGATTCATTTTAATTCATTATGATTTATGCTATTGATTTTGCACAATTTTTAGTTGTGAAAGTTACAAAGCAGAGATGTTCTGCTTGAGCAGATTTCTTAAATGTTTATTTCACCATTTAGGATCAATTATTGATTCAACCCCAACAGATTAGTTTGGAAAAGACAAACCTTTATTTATGTGCAAGACTGGTTTTGCTAAGTTGAGGCAAAATAACTACCTGAAAGCACTCTGAAAGGATCTGGAGGGGTCACAGTATTGCTTATCTGAGCAAGTTTGTAAGTGAAACCATCCCTGTGATTTCTGAGCTCTGGGAATCTATAGAAATTGCTCTGGATGTATATGGCTAAGTTTTGTCTTGCAGGTCTCTGGAAACTGTTTTATAGTAGCTTTAATGCTACTATAAAATTTGCTTTAATTACAAGAGTAATGGATTTGAATGAAGCAGTTTGAGACATGGTGGAAATATTTTTTCTGTAAACAAACTTGATTTTACTGTGAATTTCTGTATTTCTGTTACATTCGTAGTGCATATTTAATTTTTATGTGATTTTTCACTTTCACCTTATCAGATGGTGGATCAGATGGTGGATAAAGAAAGAGTAACTGGTGTCATCTACCTGGATTTGTCAAGTTTTTTGACCTCGTATCACACCAAATCCTTATCACTAAATTTGAGATATATGGATTTGAAGGTTGGTCTATTTAGTGGATAAAGAATTGGTTGGATGATCATAACCATAGAACTCTATGTCCAGGTGGAGGCTGGTCATGAGTGGTGTCCTCCAGGCCTCTACTGTGGGACCGGTTCTCTTCAATATCCCAATCAACAATGTAGACAGTGTGGTTGAGTGCACCCCATTGATGACACCACGCTGAGTGCTGCAGTCAATGCAAGAGAAGAAAGGATGTCATCCAGGGAGTCTTGGATAGACTCAAAAAGTGGGCTCATGGTAACATAATGAAGTTCAACAAGGCCAAGTGCAAAGTGCTGCACTTAGGTCAAAGCCATCTCAGATATGAGAACAAACTGGGAAAAGAAGTCCTTGAGAGCAGCCCTGCAGAGAAGGACTTGGGCTGCTGGTGGGGAGAAAGCTGGGCATGACCCAGCAGTGTTTGCTTGCAACCTAATTGGCTGGCTGTATCCTGATCTACATCAACAGAGGGGTGGGAGCAGGGCAGGGAGGAGACTGTCCCTGTGAGGTTCCATATGGAGCACTGCATCCAGGCCTGGGGACCCCAACACAAGGATGTGGAGCTGTTGGAGCAAGCCCAGAGGAGGGCCACAAAGATCAGAGGGCTCTCTCCAATTGAGAAAGGCTGAGGAAAATGGATTTGTTCAGACTGGAGAAGATAAAGCTCTGGGGAGACCTCATTGTGGCCTTCCAGTACTTGAGGAGATCTTGTAAGCAGGGGGGAGAACAACTTTTTAGGCAGTCTAATAAAGTCAGGGCCAGGGGAAATGCTTTTAAACTAATAGAAGGGAGATTTAGGTTAGATATTAGAAGGAAATTTTGTACTCAGGGCATGGTAAGGTGCTGGATGAAGTTGCTCAGATAAGCTGTGGATGCTCCATCTCTGGAGACATTCAGAGTCAGGTTGGATAGGATCCTGGACAGCCTGAGTTGGTGGAAGGCAACCCTGCTCATAGTGGCAGGGTTGAAACTGTGTGATCTTTGAGGTCCCCTCAAACCTAAGCAATTCTATGATTCTTTGAAATCTTTAATTTGTTTTGAAGAGATACATTTTTTTTTATTGTGATGCCTTATACACTGGAAATTACTCCCACAGTGCAGGCTAAGCAAGCTTAGTTTCCATTTTTGGACTAATACTCACTTTTACCATCCTGGAACTATGAAAATCATCCCTAGAAACTGAATGTAAATCAAATCGATCTTTCCTAGTTTGCATCCAATAAATCATCTATTTTACCGAATAGCAGGAATGTAGCTAATGGAAACTGGAAAGGAAAATGTGTTCTTATACTTAGCATTCTTTGGAAAAATATTTTTTAAATGTTATAAGCGTACTCATAGCAAACATTCACACTCAAAAGAGCTCTCTTACCCCCGGAGTTTATTCTACAATGTCCTCATCTAAATATCTCAGGAGTTCACAGTGAAGCATGCACTGTTTTCAGAAGACTCAGTGGGGACCCGGAGTCTTTTCTCCAAACAGGACACTTGTTGGATTTAGGTGAAAATTGATAATGAAAAGTTAAAACGCATTCTTTAACCAACAGTTGAAAAGGAAGAGAATGTATTTATCTTCTCAATAATTTTGTCTAAGGAAACTGTATTTGAAAGTTGATTAGATGAAAGCGTACTCAGAATGTCAGCCTTTGAATAAGTTATATTTCAAACCTTGCAGACAAAATCTGACTTTGCACACCAGAAATACACTTTGTAGAGTTGTATTTCTTCATGTAATTGAGTTTACATGTGTGTTACAGGAAAGAAAGAAAGATGCAGATTATTCTCTAATGAGATTTTCAGACTGTAGCATAAACACAAGAAGAGCTGCCCAGAACTTCTTGAATACACTGATGTGCTGACTGGGGAAGTCATAAATACTGGAATAGGTTATGCTTTGCCTTACACAGCAGCAGAGGTAAAAATTAAATCCCCACCTCCCTCAGTTGAGTGAGAAAGGCCTTCCTTGCTTGGTTGGGCACCATCTCCCTCTGCCTTTAGGAAGGGGAGTAGGTTGTCTCTTACTGGCATTATGCATTCAAAAGTAAAGGAAACTGTGACAATTTCTGGAACCTTCACTATGCCCCAACATGCTGCCTCTGCAACCTGCTCCTGCTTCTAGCTGCTCCTTGTGAAGGGCTGGTGCTTACACCACGCCTAGAGCAGAATATGCCTACAGACACAACTGACTCCTTAATCTGTACCACAGTAATTATATATTTTTCAAGGTTCCAATGTGTATTTGTGGTGTTAGGGTTCAGGGATTTTTTTCTCACTGATATTTTTTTCCTTATAAACAAAAGGAGGTCTGCAGTGCAGAACCAGGGACTGGGTTGGAGTCCGGCTCTGCCCTCTCTGAAGTCACCAGCTAATTAGCATTTAGGTCTTCGGGATAAACAAGCAAGAGATCCTTCTCCCAGTCCTGAAATATCCTGGATCAGTTTTAAACCCCCAAGGCCAAAAGTGCCAGCAGCGAGCTGATGAGTGGTAGTAATTCTGCATTACAGAGTCCTGTGTGAGTAGATGCTCATACTGTCCAGGCTGGCATAATGCATTCTGGGGTTTTTCTGCAGCAGGAGAATCAGCACTTCAGCTGAGCAACATCCTGATGCTGCTTGCCATCTCCTTGGTAGATTAAAAATAGGCTCTGGTCTCCAAAATGGTCAGCTTGCTGCAGCAACTTGATTAAGCAGAGGGGTTGTTTCTGGAGGAGAAGGGTCAGCATTTCCATGACTGTGACTGCATAAAGTAAAAGAGCTAGACTTGGTACAGCTAGGTATCAACTGGGGGACACACATGAATTTTCAGCCTAGTATTTGCAGAAGGAGCCTACCTGTTCCAAATGGACAGTTTACGGGGCCATACCCCTTTCAAGACTGAATCCAGATGCAATGAATCATAGAATCATAGAATCACAGAATGACCTGGGTTGAAAATGACCACAATGATCATTTGGTTTCAAGCCCCCTGCTATGTGCAGGGTTGCCAACCACTAGACCAGGCTGCACAGAGCCACATCCAGCCTGGCCTTCAATGCCTCCACAGATGGGGCATCCACTATCTCAGATACGTTCACTCTGAGTTCATGTGTATGAAATAGTTTTTTAACCTGCATGTTTATTTTCATTCAGAATTGTTCTGATTCAAAATTATTGCTGAAAACAATGTTTATTCTTCCTTATAGATGTTTGCAGACATGAGTGATAAGATGGCCACCAATTGTGGTTTGTTACATGCATGGCTATGAGTATGGAACAAAATCTGTTAGTATCCATAAGCCACAATGCTTGAAAAAAAAAATGGCATCAAGAGCATGACAAGCACTTGGTAAAGATGTTGAAAAAGGCCAGAGCTCAAGAAGCCTGAAATCAGTCCCTTACAAGGTAAGGTACACACCAAACACAAGACCAGTGGAAGGAAGTGGGAGGAAACAAAAAAGAATTTTAAGCACTTTCTTATCGGTTAGCAAGTACTCCTTTCTCTCATCTATTCTGAATGGAGGGCAGTCATCACGGCTTGTTTTAAGCCTTCTTTTAAGTGTCCTATTCTTTCTTTTGTGCTGCATCCCAGCATGGTACATGTGTCAATATGTTCCAAACCAGAATACAAAAATGTTATCCCAGCGCTTCATCATTAATTTTAGAGCACTTTTAACATTGAAGAAATGTACGTCTCAAAATGAGCAAAAGCACCTAAGAATAATGTGCATATTTGAAATGTGCAGTCATTAAAACAAAATACCCCTCAGGCATCATTGGGATTGATATTTCAGCTGGTTTTACACCTATACTGTTAGTTTTAATACAGGCCCAGCACTAGCACTCACCCAGTGCTAGGCCACCATTGACCTTGAAAATAGGATTTCTGTGGTGAAACAAGAAATACAATATGATATGAATGAGGATTGGAAGAAAATAAGGCATTTTTTACAGCTATCTAAAATATATGCTATGTTTTCAGGGTTTTGTTAAAATACAGGTATAGATGAAAAAGTAGCATTGTCTACAATGAATATTCAAGGAATGGCTTTGGTCCTCTCTTATTTTCAGGCCTTAGGTGATTACTTTGTGGTACACTACAATATTAACATAATGGGAAAAATTATGTGCAGTACAAGATGAGCTTTCATTTTGTGCTGATTATGTATGTTTGTGCACTGATTTCTGTTCTTTAAGATGCCTAGATCCCACTTCTTCAAATAAATGAAACAGACAATCCCCAGCACCCAGTAGAGTGGCTCCCACACATGTCCCAGAGGTGTATGCTCACTGTGGGACCGAAAGGAAATTTTAGCCATGCTTTGCCTGGAAGTTGCTCCCCAGATCTCTCTATACTTACATACAATTATTTCATTTCAGCTGGATGCTTTCCCTGGACCTGCCAGCTGTTCTGAGATACTTCGTGCCAAGTTTGGACCACTTGGTCACAGGCAGTTAATTCACCCACTTTTTATTTTTGTTCTCAGTAATTTCCCATAGTTCCCCTTAATGTCTGGAAAAACAGACAAATTCTCCAGCTCGTTGGGAAAGAGTCATACACTGGATCAGTTTACAGTAGCATGAAGAAATATGTTTCCAGAAGACACATGCAGAAGAGAGTGGAACCAGCGAGGACCCTGACAGGCTGAAAAAAACAGCAATAATTGCAGATCACGTAGTGTCAAATCAAGGCTTGGTTAACAGATGCCAAACAGTAGAGTTAAATCTGCAGTAAAAGATAGGTTTGAAAGACATTCTGATTGCATCTTCTCTTTTTGTTGTTAGGATTTTTATTTTTTTTTAATTACACATTTTTTGTAGTAAAAAAAGATGGAGAAAATGAGAATTCTGCCTGAAGAGGAGAACGCAAAAAGACAACTCAGGTTATTTTGAATATGCTGTTCTTATTTTGATGGAGCCGAATCAGAAAGACAACCGCTCTTTGAGAGAACAATCCAGCAGAAGGCTCCCAGATATGAATCAGAAGATTGTCTCACTTATGCAATGAGTCATATCAGGCGCCGCGCATCTCCCGCGAGGTGCTGTGTGCCCACATTTCCCCAGGGGGCTCTGATCTGCTTCCAGCATCTGTCCCTAAATGCCTGCTGATGCAAGTCTGATCCGTTCTGTAGTTTAAGCTAAAACTGTTCCCCCTGCGGTTGCCTCATGCTTCTGGCCTCGAGAAAGTAATCTGTGTTGCTCTTTTTCCGTAAGACTTACTCTCAATCATCTGGTAAATGCTATAACTGACCTTCAGACCACATACACGTACCGCATGTCTCGCAGTTTCTCAACTTGGGAAGGAGGAGTTACCCTTGTTGAATGGAACAGGCAGCGTTCAAAAAAAAATAAAAATCTCAGAAATATTAACTTCTTACATAAAACTTTTTATAACTTACATAATTTTTTTTTCTGAAAACTCAAGTGTCACGGGAAGACAACCGCTGCCCTGATTACACAGTGTTTTGTTTGTGGAATGCCTAACACATGCTTGCAAGGAGAAAGTCATCTCTCTCTTTTTTTTTATAGTCAATAAACTTTCCAAAGTACAGAAAATACACATTAATTTCCTGCAAGCAAAGGGGATATTTGTCTCAGCCAAGAAAAGAAACACTACTTGGTTGCTCTTCTAACAAAAAGAACATTAGGAACAGGCATATTAAGAGATCTAAGGCTTATTGTGGTTATGTGAACCATTGGATATGAATCATATTAAAACTGTATGGCCTTTAATGAAGAGCTCTATCATGTGCCAATGACAGAAACCATGAAATATTTTTAAATGCACAAACCCCTTTCTTTTTAAAATGGTCTGCTGCTTACATATCAAAGACAGAAGCAGTTTTTTCAGCCTTTTTCTGTATTGTCATACCTTTTGGAAAGGATGAAGAAGGATGAAGAAAACTCATCTTCAAATCAAGCCATGCATATTTTTTCTTTCCAGGCTTCAAATGATCTTAAGAACTAAATTCAGGTACTAAGCAACCTACTTGCCCTTTTTGGAAATACTTTTGACACAGCACGAATGTGCAAAACCATTTCTATGTGAAAGTGAACAAGATATTTTTTATACTCAAATACATCTGGTGTGAGGGTTTAAAGAATACTCCTGAGCTTTCAGAGCAGTCGCTTTTCCAGCACTGGAAAGTAACCGAGGGGAAAACTGGATTAATGTCTAGGTGAGAATTGATACATTACTACTAAGAGCTCATTGGAAGCTGTGGCTTTAAGGAGCTGTAGGTTTTGTCTGTAGACTTTTAGACTCACCCGAGCTTTATTCCAGTTATTGGCAAAACTTGCATAGCCTTCACAGGGAGAAAAATGGACTTCTTGTCCAGAGCAGTACAAAGAGCATATTCTCAAGTACAATGTGCTCCCTCCCATTCCCATAGTCAAACAACATATGCTTATTAAGCAGGACTTGAATAAAAGCCAAAAAGTGAAATTTGCTGATAATAATATGCATGCAAAGATGTTAATAATTAGTTGAGAATGCATATCATAACACACAGCATGATGTTTTCTCTGTAGTCTCATACAACACAGAATGGTTTAGTTTGAAGTTAATTTAATTCAACCCCTGGGACAAAAACAGGGTCTTTTTAATATGTTTTTTACTCTTTTCTTTTCTTTTCTTTTCTTTTCTTTTCTTTTCTTTTCTTTTC